CAAAAACAAAAAACACCGCCATGAAATAAAAATATCGGAAAAACGGGGAATGAATTTAATATTTTAAAAAAGGAAGAAAAAAAAAAAGAAGAAAGAAACCGAACCTCTTTACTTTTAGAAAGAAAGTTTATTTTCACATCAGCTTCACTTTGTCTCTTTCTCACTTGTTGACACCGCGTTGATTTGTTACTTTCATGAGAAAAATATAAGTACATTACATAATATTTGTATTGCTGTTTCTCTTTTATTTTTCCCTCTTTGTTGTGTTTTAATTTGTTGCTGTGTTATCTTTTTTTCTTGTTATTGTTCTGGTGTGTTGTGTTTCTATTTTTTCTATTTATATAGCGTAGTGTCATTTAATTTGATGTTGTTCCTTCCTTTAAAAAAAGTAAATAAATTTTTTATGTTAGAGCGTGTCTCCCCAAAACCGAATACTGACACTGAGGGCTCGAGTGGCCTAGAGGTGTTCACCTCTCATTCAATAGGCCCCGGGTTCGAATCCGGACAGCCATAGAAAATGCATTCTCTAAAATGTTCTCCTATCACATCCTTTCTTGCTCTCTAACAATGTTCTGTTGTCTGCTTTCTTCTCCATTTTCTGCCCCCACTCCCTCACCTCCTTTTTCCCCTATTCTGGGCTCCTGACTCTTTCTGCAGCCTTTCTTTCTACTGTTTCTCCTTGATTTCTTCTTACTAGCTGCTGTCTTTCAGCCACGCCCCTGATCATATGGTAGGAATGATCTACACCTAGCCTTCTCGTTTAAGGGCAAAAAATCTTGGATGTCCCGGGTGCAAGTTGTGCTCGTTAAAGATCCATTTGTAGTCAAAAATCGATAAGGCTTCGGCCGCCACCAGGGCAAAATTCATAATTTCTTACTACGGTACCTGAAAAGGTTTGGTGCGTCCCGTGCGCTCCATACTCATATATAAATGTGTGACCTTATGCACTAGCGAGCGGCGGAAAAACACTAACCAAAAATGTTAGAAAAGGAAAAAAAAAAATATATATATATATATATAAGAATACTGACACTGGCAGGCCCCTTGTGTGTGATTACATAATTCACATGTAATATCCTGTACTTTTTCTTGAATTACGCACGTTTAGGGATAAAACGGCCAATTTTCGGATAGGTGGAGGCACGCCTTTGTTTGTCAAGTTTTTGTGGTTGTTTGTGCTTTTCTAATTTTGATTTCATTCAGTTGTGAAACCTTTATTTTTCACCTTTTTACACTCTGTGTGAATACAAATGATATTCTGGGTGCTTAAAACAGAGAACAAGAAATGCCGGTGCTATAGATTAAGTTACCACTTTCAACATATTGATATATAGATCTACGTCATCAGAGAAAGTTGAAAGCTTAAAAATTAATGGCAACTTTTTTGGCAACTTTTGCCATTTTTTGTGGCAACTTTTGCCATTTTTTGTGGCAACTTTTGCCATTTTGTGTGGCAACTTTTGGACAAAAAAATGTCAACAAACGCAGATTAGATGCTAAGGTATTGTTCCGAATTTATTTGTTCCACTAGGCGTGTTGCGTGCGGTGCCGCGAAGAGAGAGTCGAAGAGGTTCCATTTGTTATAAGATAAGATAAGATAAGATAAGATAAGATAAGATAAGATAAGATAAGATAAGATAAGATAAGATAAGATAAGATAGTACTTTATTTTCCCAGAGGGAAATTTTCCTTGGCTGTACAGGATCATAAAAACACATGCAGGTATACATATAAAAAATAAATTTAAATCATATATATTACTCTCATTAAAATTCAATGAAAGGAGAAGTAAAGCTGACAAAAAGTACATTTACATCAGATGCATCATTCAACCACGGCAGGAATTTAAATACTAGACCTTTGGAGTTATATACAGATACATACTCTAAGAGCAACACACATCTATGCTCATTCTGACAAAAGCCTTATGCTAGATGGTAAAAAACTTCTTTTATATCTTTCGTTCTTTGTTTTTGGAGGCACATATCTGCCGCTGCGTGATCTGACAATTTGTGTGGAAAAGGTGTGTGATGGGTCGTTTATAATGCTTTTTATCTTTTTTATACATGTGGTGTTATACATTTCATCCATTCTTATAAAATCATATCCAGAGATCTTGCTGGCTTTCATAATGGTTCTGTCAATTTTTTCTTTATCTTTCACCTTACAATTCCCACCCCAGCAGCAAATACAAAATAATAGCACACTTTCAATCATAGAATGGTAAAAAAGGGACATAATCTTATTGTCAACACAGAAACTTCTTAATTTCCTTAAAAGAAACATTCTTTGATTTACTTTTTTATGCACAAGAGCAGCGTGGGAATGCCAGTCAAGTTTGTGGTCGATTGTTACACCAAGATACTTGCAAGACCTTACCATCCCCACCTCTTCATCTTTAATAAATAGTGGTTGCAATTGGTCTTTTTTTACTCTAAAGTCTTTATTAATTCCTTTGTCTTTTTTTATGTTTAGTTTAAGGAAGTGGTTATTTCACCAATTTGTAAATAGATTCACAGCGTCCCTGTATTCATTCTCATTTGTTGTTATAAGGCCTTGTAAAGTGGAATCATCCGCAAATTTGATTAGTTTGATGTTTTTGTTATCAAAAGTACAGTCGTTGGTGTGGAGCGTAAACAAGACAGGGGAGATTACACAACCTTGGGGCACACCGGTGTTTGTGAATATTAGGTCGGATTTTACACCATTTAATTGTACATATTGAGGTCGATTGGTTAAGAACTCAAGAATCCAAGCTATAATGTCCTTGTTTATGTTCATGTTAATTAATTTTGAAACCATTATGTGCAGTTGGATTGTGTTGAATGCGGATGAAAAATCAGCAAAAAGTATCCTGCAGTAATTTCTTGGTGTGTCTATGTGTTTGTAGATGTTATCTAAGAACACGAGAATGGCATCCTCCACGCCCCTCTTGGCACGATAGGCAAATTGCATGTTATCCTGTATGTCTTCTGTTGATTTTCTCAGTTCTTTCAAAACCAGTTTTTCTAAACATTTCACGAGGACTGATGTTAAAGCGACAGGTCTTAGGTCGTTCAAATTTTGTACTGATTGTTTCTTTGGGACATAAATTATTTCAGAGCATTTCCATGAGAGTGGTATTATTCGTTCTTTCAAAGACATATTGAAAATATCAGTATAAATGGGAGATAACTGAGTAGAACACATTTTAATAATTTTACTTTTTACTCCATCGGGTCCACTCGCTTTGTGAGCTTTCAGACGATTAAACATGATCTTGACCTCTTTAATGTTAACCACAAAAATTTCCTTGCTCTTGTCATTGTCTTCGTCTGTGTTGCTGTTGTTGTTGCTATCGTCTGTACGGTCATTTTGAATCGTCTCTTTGACAGTTGTCAGCTGGTCGGAGAAATCGTGAGTGTCAAAACGAGCGTAAAAAGAATTCAGTTTGTCTACATACTGACTTGGGTTCGTGTCTCGTGTAGGAATGTTTGTCTGTCTTGGTATGTCTCCAACTATAGTTTTTTCAACATTGCCACGTCATAGAATCTAATGTGCTTGATCTCTTCCATAAACTTGTACTAAAGTATTATTATAAAATAACTATTTATATTAATAGTGATAATAATAATGATAATGATTATAGTAATAATAATTAATTATTATAATAATGAGTAGGTCCTACACAACTGTAAAAAGCTGGTACATACTAGACTATACTGCTGAAACTGCTTTAGTTCTAAAGCTCTTCATACTTGTTTGATCGCAACAACGCTAACGGACAATTTTAATGATAATGGAAGCAGTTCAATGTTCTTGACAAGCACGTATTGCAATGTGTATGCAAAATACATCAAGTAAATAAACAGGAAAGAACAATATTTGGTAAATTTTTACTTTCACTCCCGCACACAGATGCACTGTTTCAGGGGTCAAACTGCTGTACTGTTTGCTGCAGATCACACATAATGCCACTAAAACTGCCGCAAATCAATTATTTTCAAGACAATTTCAAATCTAACTGTAAAATATCCAATTATGGGTAAAAACAGGGGGGCATGCCCCCCTGTAACCCCCCAGATTTTCTTTTACCCCAGTGGGGCAGGCCCCCCTGGAACCCCCCGATTGGTCCAAAGCATGTCTATCTCGGTTAAAAACAATCAAATATTTCAAAAACTATTAATTTGCGACGGAAATGAAGTTGATATTCGTGTTCAGCGCATCAATATTTAGTAGAAAATAGACAACTGGTAGCTGAATGTGAGACGGGAAGGAAAGTAAAAAAATACCCAATATTTTAAAGGAAATAAGTCGGTGTGGTGCTGGTTAGATTCACTGTGTCGCCAGACCAAGTTTTTAAGTGTTAGGCTAGTGCGGTGTTAAAATTAAAAGGCAAATCATGGGTAGGGCAGAATTTGTCATCATTGACTTCTATTGACCTAATTGTGACTGTTATTGTATTAAGTAGATGGCTGACATTTCCTACACTACAAGTCTAACGGACGCTGGCTGTGAGGAAGACACCACAATGTATAGGTCTAGACTTATCTCTGGAAATAATAATTTTAATGGATCTGTGAAAACATGTGATTTATTTGTTCCTTGTTCATATGGAGGTGTGAATCTTGGGATTGATGGCATAGTTGTTAAAGGTGAACCTACGTCTAGATTCTAGATCTAGTTCTGGGACTACTTCTGGGACTACTTCTCTTTGTACTAGATCTAGTAGTTTAAGAGAAGATGTAAAACATGACACTATAGCCTGAGGGCAGATGAATCTGTGGATGTTAATGAGGAACATCTGTCAGTAAAAGAAGAGCCCAGTTTTGAATGGTCGTGTGACGTCAAGGCCGAGAAAAATGGCGAACTGAACAATCTCAGACACAGTGTAGTAAAAGATGAACCTGTCTGTACACAGGAGGAAGACGTGAAACTTGTCATTAAACCAGAGTGCCTCACAGATATAATCTGTGCTGTGAAAACCGAACCACTATTTGGACATTTTCCTGACTTTGGTGATGAAGTAAAACCAAACGTGGAGAATTTTGTGAAAGAGGAAGTGTCAGAATGGGAAGGTCCAGACTTTGGAGAGGTAGGAAAGACAGAAGGCCAAACGGGAGATTTGGAGGAGACGTGACGTGTGTGCTAAGCCCGTGTTTGTTGAGGATCACACGAGTCAGGCTGGAGGACTACAGCTGAAAATCTCCGATGTGAGGAGCTTGTGTATGGTGCAAAGTTCCAGCCCGGACATTGATGATGTTGTTGCATCCAGTAGTCCAACTTCAACTTTCTCTGCCAATACAGTCTCAAGTTTAGGATCTGTTGTCTGGGCCAGCTGGGATCATGGTGAAAGTTCTGGTACGTAGAATCCCTCCGTGTTTGAACTTTTTGATAAAATGTGTTTTGCATTTTTTGATGCAGTTCACCAAGAAAGTTTTTAGAAATTGTGCAATTGCATGATGTGCCGGTACATGCATGATGCAGTTAAACTGATAATATAAAATATATAACGAATTCATTTATAGGGCTCGACTTTCATGTTTGTTGCACCCGATTGTTACTGATTTTATCTTAGGTACAAAATGTACCAAAAAGAAAAATGTCAGTGTTTGAAAAGTAGATTTTTTTAAAAATCGAAAGAGAAAAAGCTGTAGAACTGTGAAATTCACTGTTAAATCATTAAAATCACACAAAAATTCAAAAAAATTATAAATAATTAGATCTAGATCTAGATCTGATATGGTTCAAATTCAAAAAGTTAATAAATAATAATTTAGATGGTTCAAATTCATTCAAAATAGAAAATTGTAGGGAGCATTCAAACAGGCAAAAAGCAGGACTTTCGACTGTCACTCAATATGTAAAGACTAACAGAATCCTAGGGCTGTTAAGTCATAAAATAGTATGAAAAAAAGGGCTTTGCGGTGCGTGAACATTTTTTGCTTGTTACACCACTAAAGGCTAATTTCAGAGGCCTGTTGCCTGTTGCTTGAAAACGTATTTTTTCTGTAAAGTCAAAACTTCATCATGTCGTTGATAAAGATGCATGGGAAAATGTGTTTTTTTCTTTTTTGCAAGGAAGTTTAAGTCATGAAAATAATGATGTACAGGCAATCCCTGATTCTACATACATTGGGACCAGCATGGAGTTGGTGATATAGCAGGGTTTGTGGTGTATAGATAACGGGATAGCACTGATTGCCAATTTGACTAGAGGTAGAGACTAGAGAGAGAAATTGTGGCCCGTCTTTATTCATCTATAACTGTCTTGCGCGGTTGCTATGCATTCGGAAAAATAAGTAGCTATCAATTACATATTTATATGCAGCACCAGTTGAATTCTACCTTTCATTCAAATTGAAAATTTTGACCGGATCGGAAGATAGGCTACATTATGTGTCAAGGACTATATTGACATAAAAATTTAAAAACCCGATACTCGTCAGTCCCAGACCTATGGAGTTAAGGTTGAAGGGCACCATGGTAGGTCCCGCTTCTTTATTTTTCCTCTGTTGTTTCTGTCTGTCTGTCTTACTTTTCCCAAACACTAAATGACCAACCCCCCGGGGCAGTACCACTGACTGTAGTGTCTTTAGGCCATTCCCAAAGGGAGGACATTTCTCGTTCAAGCACAGTAGAATTGTAAATGGGCTGATTCATCAATGTCATGCTTGTAACTGTGCCTGATCTACAACTGGGAACTGCTGATTTTTCTTTCCTAATCCTTACTATTGTCATTTTTTCTCTACTTCTTTTGTATGTTTGTAACACTCTTGCTTGTGACCCGCAATTTCTGGGGTGCCTTGATAGTCGAAACAGACCTTGTGCTGTTGAAGCTAGAGAGGTGAGCAGAGTAAGTCTGATTCCCTGTAAGGACTTCTCTGTTGACATCCACCCCTTGGCGCTCATATGACCTTGTGCAGTTGCGAGCGCCGTAAAACCTCTACTATAATAATGAATAACTTATTCCTTATTTGTCTTCTTCCAGATGTCTCGACTTACCCACATGGCCCACTGACTTCCTGTCACCCGGTACAACAGGCAAATGGAATGCGGAGAAGACAAGGTGAAAGTTCAAGCTGCAGATTTCAGACAGGACAAAGGGTCTATCGAGAGAATGTTGGCGGTGTTCCGAAAGAAACCTCTTCAAGTGACATCGGTGCCATGGAGAGAGTCTGTGACCTCCATCGGAGTGTAGCGGACGACAAGCAGATGTACGACGAAAATCTCTACGATGGTCATGACACGAGTTTAAATGACTGTGCTTTTGCAAGTAAAATGAAAGCTGGTAACGTTGATGTGGAAAGTGATGTGTGTTGTAAGATTGTTTCGCAGACAAGGCCAGGAAAACGTCTTCTCGGAAGTTCAACGCGTGAGTCCTGCGGCAAAAGTCGCATGTTTTGCGATCATAAACTGTCCAGGGGTCAAGGTCAAGGTCGCGATTTCAACCTTTCTTGTGCTGTGTCTTTTGCCAGTTGTACGAATTCTACAGACTCTACTAGTACCACACCCCGAAAAGTGAACAAAGAGATGGACGCCGGTTGCCGAGATGTACCCCCAAGGTTTCCGGTCAGGGAAAGCAGATACTCACGAGAACAAGCTCACAAGTGTAGTGTCTGTCTTGAGGTGTTTACAGAACTGGGTAACCTACAGAAACAGAAAAGAGCACACACAAGTCTACGGAAGCTCAAAAGGACACACACAGGAGAAAAACCTTACAAATGTGAAGTTTGTGGTGCCACGTTTACATGGAGTAGCCATCTACAAACTCACAAAAGGACACACACAGGAGAAAAACCTTACAAGTGTGAAGTTTGTGGTGCCACGTTTACATGGAGTAGCCATCTACAAAGTCATAAAAGAAGGCACACAGGAGAAAAACCTTACAAGTGTGAAGTTTGTGGTGCCACGTTTACATGGAGTAGCCATCTACAAAGTCATAAAAGAAGGCACACAGGAGAAAAACCTTACAAGTGTGAAGTTTGTGGTGCCACGTTTACACAGGGTAGCAGTTTACAGCGTCACAAAAGAATACACACAGGAGAAAAACCTTACAAATGTGAAGTTTGTGGTGCCTCATTTACATTCAGTACCGTCTAAAAAGTCACAAAAGTACGCACACCTCCAGTCTGTGGGAGAGCCACTGGGAAAACCAGAAAAATAATAAATTATATGAAATTAAACCCAGACTAGAACAGCGAAATCCTTCGGATCTCTCCAGAAGAGACGAAGTCATTTTTACTCGATTGCGCATCGGACACACGGCCCTGACCCACAAATACCTACTACAGGGAGAGGAGAAGCCGTTCTGTGTCGGATGCGACACAGATTTTACCATTAGACACATTTTAACAGAATGTCTAGACTTTGGAGAGATCCGAAGGAAATATTATAAATGCAAGAAATTGCAGGATATTTTCTCCGTCGTTGTTCCCGGCAGAATTTTAAATTTTATAAAGGCCATTGGCCTTTATGGCGAGTTGTAAAGTGAATCTGATATTATTTAAAATTTTTATTGTTACTTAAAAGTTGTTTTAGATCACAAATGTATTTACACCGAATTTGAATATTTTAACTTTTTAGCATTTTAAAGTAAATTAGTTACCAGTCGTGAAGTGAACTTTCGCAGAAGTGAACAACTTGTGTTTCGCGCGCTCATATGACCTTAGCAGTTGCGAGCGCCGTAAAACCTTATACTACTACTACTACTAAAGTACGCACACAGGAGAAAAACCTTACAAGTGTGAAGATCGTGGTAAAAAACCTTACAAATGTGAAGTTTGTAGTGCCACGTTTACACAGGGTAGCAGTCTACAGCGTCACAAAAGAAAACACACTGGAGAAAAACCTTACAAATGTGAAGTTTGTGGTGCCTCATTTACATTCAGTACCGGTCTAAAAAGTCACAAAAGGACGCACACAGGAGAAAAACCTTACAAGTGTGAAGTTTGTGGTGCCACATATACTTTAAGTACCTATCTACGAAGTCACAAAAGAAAGCATACAGGAGAAAAACCTTACATGTGTGAAGTTTGTGGTGTCTCATTTACATTCAGTAACAGTCTACGACGTCACAGGAAATTACACACAGGATAAAAACCTGACGAGTCGTCCCCCGAATCTCGCACTATAGCAACCGCCATATCACCCGAACTCGGGTCTAAAATACAACCACAGATTACGTTTTACATTCTAAAGTCTGTCAAAATTTGACACCTTTCATCGTCTCCGAGGTAAATGAGGTTCATGAGTCGTGAGGTATCGTATGCACCCTCTTGAATCTATTCAGAATCACGTACTAACGCAAGGGACGATACGCTAATAATACGTGGACCGTCTCTTCTGTTTTTCTTGTATGCTCACGTTGTTCAGTCACATACTAAGGCAGGTAACAAGAATCAACCCCCACAGAGTTCTATTTTAATTTACTTCTCTATTATTCCTTTACCTGATTAGATCTACTGCGTTGATTTTCGTGACCATTACACGTAAAATTTCTCTCTCTCTCTCTCTCGCTCTCTCTCTCTCTCCCTCCCTCCCTCCCTCCCTCCCTCCCTCCCTCTCTCTCTCTCTCCCTCCCTCCCTCCCTCCCTCTCTCTCTCTCTCTCTCTCTCTCTCTCTCTCTCTCTCTCTCTCTCTCTCTCTCTCTCTCTCTCTCTCTCTCTCTCTCTCTGTTTGCAAAGTGACTCACATAAATCGTAAACTTGATCCCGCTCTATTATGTTGTTGTTACCGATGCAACCTATTTTCAAAGTTGCAAGGCTGTTCATATTACATGTACATGTATTTATTCATCCATTTGTGATCTCATTCAAGCACAGTAGAATTGTAGATGGGCTGATTCATGTCACGCCCATAACTGTGCCTGATCTACAACAGGGAACTGCTGCTTTTTCTTTCCTGATCCTTACTATTGTCATTATCCTCTACTTTTTTTGTATGTTTGTCACTCCCTTGTGACCTGCTATTTTGGGGTGCCTTGATAGTCGAAGCAGACCTCTGTTCAAGCTAGAGAGGTGAGCAGAGTAAGTCTGATTCCCTGTAAGGACTTCTCTGTTGACACCCACCCCTTGGCGCTCAATATGACCTTATGCAGTTGCGAGCGCCGTAAAACCCTCTACTAAAAAATTTAAAAAATTTTTTTAAAAGTTTTTCGTCTTTGTTACGATCCGGTGTGTTACGTCCTGAGGGTTATGAAAAAACTTTAAAATTATTCGTAACATGCACTCCATGTTCTTAATTGACAAAGAAAGTTTACACAGTTGGTAGTTTATGTTACTTCTGGTTTGTTCATAACGTGTGCCAGAAACAATTTCATCAGTTAGATTTACCCCCGGGGCAGTGCCACTGACTGTAGTGTCTTTAGGTCCTTCCCAAAGGGGGGACATTTCTCGTTCATGCACAGTAGAATTGTAAATGGGCTGATTCATCAATGTCGTGCTCATAACTGTGCCTGATCTACAACAGGGAACTGCTGCTTTTTCTTTCCTGATCCTTACTATTGTCATTTTCCTCTACTTCTACTGTATGTTTGTCACTCTTTTGTGACCTGCTATTTCCGGGGTGCCTTGATAGTCGAAGCAGACCTTGTGCTATTGAGAGATGAGCAGTCTAAGTCTGATTCCCTGTAAAGACTTCTCTGTTGACACCCACCCCTTGGCGCTCATAATACTCATATGACCTTATGCAGTTGCGAGCGCCGTAAAACCCTCTACTATAAAAAAAATATCAGTTAGATTTTATTTATATATTATATATATTATATATATGTGTGAGTGCCCAAAGAAAGGTACCAAAAGTCGAATTTTCACCATTTTGAGTCAAGGGTTGTACCTTATTATAGGAAATTCTATGCTGAACACAGGGGTCTTTGATAGTTTTTGAGATATTGCACATTTTGTGAGGTAGGGTATGAAGATAGAATTTTGAGAAAATGAGCTTTTAAGTTTAACAAACGTGAGAACACATACAAACTTTAAAAAAAAACAACGATTTTTTAAATACATGTAGATCTATTTATTCATAGAAAATTCATGTCCATTTTGGCATTCAGTTGACATCAATATCAGGAATGGAATTCAATGGTAAAACATAGCAGGGAAGAGAAAACATGCTTCAAGAATAGAATAGATTTTAACACTTTTTAAAAGCTGTTTCCATTATTAGTTTTTATTATACCCTGCCCTCAAAATAATTCAAAATGAAATATTTAGAAGTTAAATCAATCAAAACCCTTTGAGCACATTATAAAAAGGTGGTGGGTCTTGGTTTTTTTTTAAATGGAAACATATCTTGGTCCAAAAAGTGATTTTTTTCATTATCAGCCTGTAGCTCGAAACGGTCAGGGGCGACTTTTGGTACCTTTCTCTAGGCGCACACACATCTTTGTTTTGCTTGTATCATTTCTGTATTTTTTTAAAAGTTGTCTTTTGTGTTTTAGAATAAAACCTCAGCATTAGCTGAGAAGTGGTTTAACTTAGAATTTGTTACTGTTGTTATGTTGGAGTTGTGATTATTTAGCCCTATCCGTACGCCCTGGGGTCATTTTGTACACCCGGGGTTGTATTCTTCACATTTTAGAGTACTTCTAGTACGAAGATCTCTTTGAAACTTTCAGTATTTCTCAAAAAATTATTTTGACAGACTGCTATGCAAAGCGTACGGATCGGATTAAATTAACGAGTAAATCTCCTCTTTGGAAAGTGGTGGCACATAGTTCCCCGCGTCGTATGGATTAATGGATACGATAGTAAAACACGACGTACGGATAGGGTTAAGTGGTGGCACAGAGTTCCCCACGTTGTATGGATTAATGGATACGATAGTAAAACACGACGTACGGATAGGGTTAAACCAGCACAACACCAAGAGTATTGCATACGGTACAGCTGTGATGGTAACTTAATCTCAGGGATGCCAAATCTCCGGCTTTTCCGGCTTTTTCCGTGTTTTTCCTACACTTGCAAAGGAAAGGGGAATGGTGAGAGAAGTGGTTTTGTTTGCTCATTGAAAGATTTGACAAAGTACGTTTTAGGTGAGATGTTACACTCCGCTCATTTTCAGTTGTTGTTTTTTGGGTTTTTTCCAAAAATCATTTGGCATCCTTGTAATCTGTAAGTAGTGTATGTAAGAGCAATCATTAGGCTACTGGCTACATGGAGAATGAACCTCGGATAAAGTGAACACTTTCTTATGGTCCCAAAAGAGTTCACTTTAAGCGGACTCCACTGTACGTTTTGAGTTGTCATTATCATCTTTCCATATTTCTGTCCCTATGGTTTTATGTACCCCGCATAATTTAGCCAAATTTGATCATTTTTTTGCATAATTTCTGATTATTTTTCTTTATCATTCTCTTTGTTGAAATTAACAGAATCGCATAATTTAAAATTTTTTGGCTCATTTTGCTTAATTTAAGAATTTTTCTTTCATAAAATGACGGGGACAGATATTTCTGGCGATGCCCTCAGTGCGAAACATTGGACTTTTGCTGTGTTATATTGTTATAAAGATTTATTGAAATTCTACAATCCCTGACAATTTGTTTGCTTTTAAAAAAAAATCTTCGAGTTCGAGCCTGATGGTTAAGTAGTTTTAGTTTTAGTAGATGTTTTATGGTGCTCGTAACTAAAGCATCTACTAAAACTAAAACTACTAAAGCATCAGGCCTGTTGATGGTGGTGGTGGTGGTGGTGGTGGTGGTGATGATGATGATGATGATGATGATGATGATGATGATGATGATGATTGACGATGATAGTTTGAGCGTTGTGACGTGGGTGTTCGCACTTAAGTTTCCCATAGAGCTAGTCTAGTCTAGTCTAGTCATTAATGAAACGTTGAACGTATTATAATTATAACATACGTGTATTTTCGAAATACTACCAAGCCTCAACCTTCTTTGTTCTCTGTATGCAATGATGATGGTGATGGTAATGATGATGGTGATGGTAATGGTGATGATGATGATGATGATCATGACGTGCCTTTCGATATGATGCTTCAACTTCGAAAGAAACAATGGTTACACCAAAAGACATAATGTTAATAATAGTAATAATAGATAGCATTTTATTATAGCGCTAATCCCCGCTCAACAGCAAGCTCTATGCGCTTTACAATCTATACTATTACCCCAGCAGACCTGAGAGCATTCTGAAGAAACAACCTCAACTTCCTGTGAAGCATACAGTGCAAGCGGCCGTATATAGGCGCTAAAACACTAACATACTGACAAGATCTTTCGCTGTATATGGCTGGGTGCCCATTCCCACCTGGGTGAAGTGAGGAAAAGTCGTGTAAAGTGCCTTTCCCAAGGACACAACGTCGGGCCCGCGGTTCGAACCACCGACCCTGCAACCTCACGATTACGAGTCCCTTAGCCTAACCACTAGGCCATCAACACCACTATTAGAATCTATTATTAAATAATATGTAATTATAATTGAAAGTCCAGACTTTCATCAACAGTTTGAGGAGTATCCTAAGAATTATGGGGCAGGATAGAATAAGAAATGAAGAGCTATGGGAAAGTACAGGACAAAAGGGTATATAGAAGTAGAAATACAAATGTAGTAGCCTACTAAGAAAGTGGCGATGGATGGGACACACTTTCAGAAAGCCCAGCGGAAACATCACAAGACAGTCACCGCAGTGGAACCCACAGGGAGCACCAGGCAGGGGTAGGCCACGGGAAACACAGAGGAGATGTGTGGAAAGGGACATGAGAGAGATGAAGCTCACTTGGAACGAGCTAGGAAGGATGGCCCAGAATAGAGAGAAATGGAAGG